GAGGATTCATCGCATTGCACTATTGACCAAATTGTTAGTATTCGCACAAAATATTCACCACACTTTTTATTCGAGATTCACTTCCGCGTCACAAATTTTGAACATTTTAATTTTCGATTCAGTTCACGAAAAAATGGTAGAATGGCAATAAGTTCATACGAACCAACTTGCTTGGGCTCTTCAAATGATTTTCGTTAGGCGAAATGACTTTTAAGATGTCACAGGATTTTTTCAATGGACAATTCTTTTGCCACGCGTTTGAACTACTCTCGATCCGCAATCGTGATACGAGTATATGTCACACAAAAAATACCACTTCGAAAATTCTGAAAATCAGAAAAATTTTACTTGTGCGAGATCAGGAAAAATTACTGCATGAGCAGTCTACCAGTTGGAAATTCCATCAATCAATTGCAATTTTCGGATGACCAGATAACTTCCGAATCCTGTACATTTCGGATTCATTTTTGTCTGACACAACAAGTTGAGATCATAATGTTCACTCTGTTGCGTGATTGTAAAAATTTGCACAATGCAGTGTGGCATGTATAAAATGCTTTCTTTTTAAAATTGGGATTAAGAATAGAAAAATTTGATAAAATCGTTGACTGTCCGTTGAAAATGTGTTTTATGAACTATTTAATAATGTTCTGGAAAAGATGTTCCTTTTTTGCACGTTTACGTATCAAGTAGACACGAATGTATATTTGTGTGCCAGTTGAAGTAATCGAAGAGTTCTTGAAACATTCTGTGGATTGCGCAATAGTGTAATGCACGACTTCAAAATAAACTTCAGCAGAATCACCTGAAAATTATCAACCTAAAATTTGGATGAAAATGTATCCCTAGAGGAAGGCACACATGAGTGACATGACATAATAAATTAGATCAGTAATTTGAATTTACTTATTTCAATGTAAAAAAAAAATAGAAAGTTGATTTTACAAGGGTTCCATTTTTTATAAATGTTGTGTTCAAACTGCGTCTTTTTTATTTTTACACCTCATCCTTGGTTTTCGTTTCAATTTTCAAGGACATTTTTTTGCACCACCTGCACGAAAGATGTCCCACGCATACCATGCATGGTACCACTTATTAGTTTAAAAAGAATGCATTCAGCAAGCAGATAACAAGAACAATAGGGTTTTCTTTCTTTTATCCCACGTCATTTAAAAAATGGCATTTGGTATTTGAGTGCTGCTAAAGAAGGTCTTTATTTTTGTAATGCTTTGGTTTTCAATGCTACTGCCAAAATTCCTATGCACACCTTTTGGCTTGATTTCCCTTTATTTACAAAAAGATGGATGAAATGTTCTCAAAAAAGATTGAAAGTATGGGTTTCACATATCTGCCATGAGTTACATTTGGGGATCAAGGTTTTTGCCTCTTTTGTGAAACTTGTGATCAATCAAAATATCAGAAAATGAAACATATTACAAGTTGTATATTTCAATTCAATCATAAACATCTTCAGGCTTAAACTTACTACAAAATTTCGAATTTAGCTGCAGCAGAAGAAATTACTTTTCTTCCATTCCAAAATCAATGTTTTTTCCAGATGGAATCTTTGAGTGGGGCACATAAAACATGCTTCATGGGAATGAAAAAAGAAGATAATGATCAATTGAGGTTTCAATTTGTAGATGACTTCATTGCAGAGCCTATTCGCATTTTTTAATTACTTTCTTCACTTTTCATTTTTATTGGGAAGCGAAATCGACCAAATGAGGCCCAAGGCAGGTGTTAGGTCAATTTTTCCATAATTTTCTTCCATTCTTTTTTTGATTTTGTTTTTTTACCTCGCATCACAGGTTCGCGCTTCATTTTTCCAAGAATGATCATCCTTTGCACCACCTGCAGAAAGGTGTCCAGCAAACAAATCAGAAGTGTTGGAACCATTTTTTTTAAACAATGTAACCCAATCTCTTCGGGCCGTCAGAAGACTGGCGCTTTGGATAAAAAGTTCTGTGTGCTGGTAAATTTCTGACCATTTTTCTACTGACTGGAAAATTTTAAAAAATGCTTTAGGCTCCACAGAGTTTTGCTTGAAGGACTTTATAAACGGCATGGTTTTTAAAAATTTCTGCTTTGTGAAAATATAAAATTAAGAACAAATGGTGGAATGCTTTATTTTAAATTGATAAATAGGTGGGCTTGAAGAAAGGTTTCTCAGATTGAAAAATCGAAATTGAATATTTCAGCAGAGGAAAATGTGACTGCAGTGCGTTAATAGGTGGAAATCCAACTTTCATTCTTCATAGGATAATTTTAAGTACTCTTGGCCATCCAAAAATGTCTGTTAAAAATAACAGACTTCATCTCTACTTTCGATAAATGCATTATGCTGAAGAAACTTTCAAGGGATGGATGGGCAACACTGGTTCAAAAAGCCCTGATGACGACCACAATTTCTTCCTACTTCAGTTCCATAATACTGGCTCATCCGAGAGCACACATGACACTGGCATTGTGACCGTTGAGGAAAAAAGGGGTCAAGTGAAAAGATGCGCGCAATCCCAAAGATGACCGCACCTTGGTTCCAGTGCCGGCGGTTGTGAAACGCATCCGACCTTTTTTTTATTTTTTGTGGGTCTCTCATTCACTATACATGTACAGCATGTACATCAGCATCTTCCTCTTCTTCTCTTGTTGGTCGAATTTTTCTTTTCTTTTCACTTTCCTCCTTTGTTCAAGGAAGAGAGTGAGAGACAATAAGAGGAATTCCAAAGAACAAATGCCTTCTTCTTCGCTCTTGACCAGCGACGTGTGAAGGACATGAGATGCTTGCTTTCTATATAGGCAGTTTATCTTCCTACAACAGGTCAACTTATTGTGGCGAGGGGATCAGCGAAGGATATGTGCAGTATTTTTTGTTTTGTTTTTTCTTTTGAAGGGACGATTCTGGAAAGAGTTTGCGGTTGCTTCTTTTTCGACAGCCTTCTGGATATGCATATGAGGTAGTGGCTTTTTCGAAGTATCGGAAAAAACTGGGGAATCTACAAAATATGTACCCAACAATACGTGCTTGACTACCGCGCGTCATCTCTCAGATACACACCTCACATTCTAAGGTAAGAATTTGGAAAAAATGGATCCTTGCACAAGATATGTGCTCCAGTTTCAAGTTAGCTAACAGTATCTTAGAATCTTACAGTATTTAACAAGCTGTGTTGCGTGAATCTAGAAGGCGTGCTGATTGAAGATTGAATTATATTAAAATAAATTTTCTTCAGAGAGACATTGAAAAGAAGAGCATTGTATAATGCTTATTTAAATGTGCGAATAAAATTTTCTATTTTCAAAAATATCACTTGAAAATGTGTGCCTGGCCATGGTGTTTTCTTCATGAAATTCTAGATTTTATCTGTCTCCTTCAAGAACCAAATTCAATGGCGATATATTGTCATGCGAATAATATCAATATTAAAATGGCGGTACAAGAAAAATAATTTCAAATAGCAGAGGGAATTTGCTAATTTAAAAAAAAATTGTCAAAAGAAACTTTCCATCTGACTATATTGTCAGGCCGGTAACTGACCAAGGGTTTTATGAAAAGTCAAGAAATAGCTCAGCCATGGATTTTGGGCCTCAGAGTGGGAGCCATACACAACCCTCATATCTTATTCAGAGGAGGTTGCATCTCAGCATTCCAGACTCATAACAGGTCCCCAGCATTCCAATCAGCATCACCAAAGATCACCACACACACACAACAGGATAGGAGAGGACTGACTGCAGATTGACTAAGACTGAGACATGACTGACAGAAGGCTTGGGAAAAGACTGATCAAAGCCAGAACAAAGACTGATATAATACTGACTGACTGTGCATAGTACACAGCCCTTTTATACAGGCCAGAATAACCCTGGGATTGAGCCAAGGGCAACCTAGTTGACCCTGGCTAAATCCTGTTTCCAGGCAGGTTTCCCACTCTGCCAAAGTTGCCCCTTCCAGGCCAAAAAGTTGCTTTGGAGCGCATCATAGCGCCACGTGAGTATTTCCTTTGGGGTGCAGAGCGTCCCGCCACGTAAGGTATGGCGTGGGCAGGACTCTATCCTGCTGGCGCCGCACAGCACCTTGGCCTGGCGCTGGTTTGCGACCCGACAAATGCCAAGATATTTTTTCTGGTCATGATTAATTTATTGAAAAAAATGAATGCTGTTTCTCAAAAAAACTTTCGTGTCAGTTCTGAAATTTTGGAATCAAATTCATCACTAGTCTTGTCCAATAATGAATGTGACTTGAACATTGGAAGATATGGAAAAGTGTGACCAATATGAAAAGAAAGCTTTTCCACAGAATTCACTTGAAAACTGTGATGAATTGACTTTGAAAGCATATACATTCTGCAGTTGACAATGACCCAGTTATTTTTATTATTAATAGGGAAAATAACAAGAAGAAGCTTCAAGCATCAGCTGATCTTCCCAAAGATTGTCACACTTGGATTTTTGTTGCTGGATGCACATGCTTCACCAGCAGCAAGGCCAATATCACCCATCTGTGAATCCTCCAGCAATAAAAGTCCCAACACCAGCCAAACTATATTCACAGAAACTCACCAGAGCTTTCCAAGAGAACAACAGCTTTTCCCATTCAAGAGTTACCAAATTACAAGTTTACAGCAGCATCAGGATGAACATGTTTGGCAAGGTTTGTGTCTATATTCCATCAAACAAAAATTGTTTCTTTATAAGATAATTTCCTGATGAAATTTTTTTATTTTTCAGATTCTGGCTTTGGGTCTTCTGGCCACTGTCCTACATTTTCACACAGGACAAGGGCTGAACATCCCAATACCCCATATTGAAGTACCAGTGACGGACTTGCAAGTACCTTCAAGTGGGGGACCAGCTGCAAAGAGTTATGGGGATGCTGCTCCTCAAGACAGTTCAGGTCAAGGAAGTTCAAGCAGTTCTGGTTCAGCTGGAAAGCCAGTTCAACCTGCCTCCAAGTAAGTGAAAAAAATCTTCAAACAGAATCATAGTTTATTCATATACAAAAAAAATCCGTTTCCTCAAAAATCTATTGGCTTTAGATCCCCCAAAAGTCCCTCAATGACTGAATAATATGACTCATTGCTTCCAAATTAACCCCCTGATAATATTGGAAAATTTTCTTCATGAATTCTAAAATTAATTAAACTAAATAAAAGAAATCATTAAATGAAAGAAAAAATTGGGAATCAAGAGAAACATATGGACAATCTTGATGTATATTATGCAAAGGACAGTTTAATATCTGAAACCTGAATCAGTGGCAGTTCCTGCTTTTTTTCCATTTCAGAATCAATTGCAATAAATATTGGCTTTACAGCCCCCAAAAGTCTTCAATGATTAAAACATATTACTCATGTCTTGCAAAACCTCTTTGGATAATTTTCCATATAAAATTTAAACAATTATCCCAAATGATCATAAAGATATCATTGAGTACCAGAAAAAAGGAAAATGTTATGAGAAAAAAATCAGAAATACCTTGAAAGTATTCTGTCACCTGGGCAATAATGATGTCTATCAAGCAAAGCACAGCTTAATGTCTGAAACATCATGAAAGTTTTTGGCTCTTTCAAGATGATCCCAGCATATTATTCCATCCTGGTCAAAAGGGTCTTTGAACCAATTCACATAATTAGATTTGTAATTCCTTGATTATCAATATTTTTTATAAAGATACAGTATTTTTAAATACAGTATTAGCATGATATGAACAATTTTTCATTTCCAACAGGGTCATCAATTACAAGCACAAACATGAGCATGAACACAAGCACAAGCACAAGCATTCCCACCTCCACAAGCATGACCATCAACATGGACATGACCATGACCATGAGCACAAGCACAAACACCAGGAACAGCACAAGCATGAACATGATGAGAAACACAAGCACACTCACAAGGAGAAACACAACCACAAACACAAACATGACCACAAGCACAAGCACAAGAAGGAAGTTATTGAAGTAGCAGCTGGAGGTGGCAGCAGCAGCAGCAGGTGAGACATTCAAAAACTACTTCAAAAAGGAAAGAAAACTTCTTGACTTTTTTGTATATTAACAGCTCTGGAAGATGAAGCCAAGCTTATGCAGACCACAAAATCAGCAAGTCATCCAACACAAGAAACAAAGAATCTGGCAGAAGATTTTTGGATACCCTCATTGTATTTATTCCAATTCATCATCAACAGCAACCAACACTGAGTCAATAAATTCCCAATTCATTGCAAACTTGGATCTCCTTTTCCCATTGTCCTCTTGAGTTTGTGCCAAACAGACTTCTTTGCCTCATTGTCAGGTCTTGATGAGGATGGAGATGACTGATTTAAGGTTGCAGAGCTGCTGGCAAACCAAGATGTTGAAGCAGTCTGTTTTTCATGTCCAATACTGGCAACCCTGCTGGCAATTGTTGGGGTAGGAGTTGAAATTGGCACACTTGCAATTGTCTGCTTGGCCAATGATTTACCAGCTTTGGTGGATTTATCCCCTCTTCCCTGTAATATGACTGCCAAAAATGATTCACTGCAAAAAATGAGGAGGGGGGAAACTTAATGCCAAGTTATTTAAAGATGGTCAGAAAATGTGGCTTTATGAATAGTAAAGTACTACCATATTTACTCAAGTACCACCTGCCCTCAAGTAAGGCACGCACACAGTTTTTTCAGTTGGAAATTTGGCTAAAATCTTATCCCCAAGTATGACTCGCACCCCAATTTTTAGTAAATCTAAATCCACAAAATTTTGAAAATAGAAACAAAAAATTTGACTTTAGACATGAATTTAACAAAAATCTGACCAAGTTGAAAAATTCTCAGTACAAAAAGGTTTTCTTGTCACTTTTTTCCAAATTTCTCCATTGTGATTAAGTATGATACGCATAGAACTTTCAAAAACTTCTTGAAAAATGTTTACCCGCTTATGGCGCGCACCCCTTTTTTTCTTCTGAAATTTGAGAAAAAAGGTGCGTGGTACTCAAGTAAATACAGCATATTCACAGTACCTGGAATCAGGATAATTTTCAACAAGGGTCTTGAGATTCTGCTTCAGTGGTTCTCCATCACTGCTTCCTATGACTTCACCAATAAGCTGAAGAAAGTGAAATGGTGTCTTGGCTGAAAAATGTTTCATAGGACACTGAAGTTATCCAATCACCACTTGAAACTGTACATGCAGGTATAAATTTCTGAATCACATGACACCTTATACCTTTTGGATGTGTCCAGGCATTAGTCGGATTGAAAAAGTCAGGGTAAAGAGAATTATAGATCCTGGGCTCCAAGAAGGTCTCCATAACTGTTGCCTCTGCTTTGATTTGATCTCCAGCTCTTCTTCTTTCATGGCTGTTACTGGGTTTAAATGACTTTTCCTTTGAGCTTTTCAGCTTGATGTTATTGCAAAACTGTAACAAAAATGTGATTAGTACATGCAAAGAATCATTTTTAAAGTTGAAAGACAATATGTGTGTAAACTAAGCGCTGATCAATAGCATAATCTTGGTTAATAAACATAATTGGTTCCAGAAAAAAGTTTGTTAACCAAATTCAATTTTCCCATATGGACTTTGATGGGGAAAAATTTAATCCAGCTTTTTAACCTATTATCCAACTGAACATTGCATACAAAAACTTTAAAACCATTAAATCAGAATAAGTTGTTGCTGCATCTTGTATGTGCCCAGAATGTTTTTACAGTGTTCATCTATGGAATTAGCACTGATGATAATAGAGATAAAGTCTTCACACCCAGAAAAATATCACATCTGCAAGAGACAACATACACCTAACAATTGAAAAGCTAGGAAAACCAATCACACAAAAAGATAATTTTGTTACAGAAAAATATATGAATAATGCAGCTCAGACAAGTTTAAACAGAAAAGATTACATGCATTCATTCAAGTGCCAGGGGGAAGCAATTTTCATATCAACACATTGGTGAATTATTTGCACTTAGATTGTATCATAAATGTCAGCCTCAAAATAAATTTTTAATTTTCAAATTTGGGATTTTCCCCCAGGAAAGTAGTTTGTTGGCCAAATTTGTGGTTGTCAACAAAGGGATCTTTCCTGGAACCAAGAAGTTTTTTTTTTAACTGGGGGTCCACTGTACCTGAGTTGTGTACTCAGCAGTGAGATGACCAGCCAAGAGAAATGATAAAGGAGACATGCAAAGTGGATCCAGATGAGAGTCAAAGTCTGTGAAGAAGTCCATCAAAGTGCCTTTTAAAATCTTCTGCACCAACAAATTGTCCAGCCAGTCCTTTGCAAATACTCTTGCCAGGATCACTTTGTGTCCTTGAACCACCTCCATTGCAAGAATGTCCAAGGTTTCCATCAGCATTCCCTTCATAACATGCAAATTAAGTTACATTGCTTCACTTTCAAGCAAATGGGATCCTTTCAAATATTACTTGGCACTTTTCAATTGCCTTCTCAAAAGCAGATTTCAGCTCAATGTCATCCTTTATTGGCATGATGACATCTTTGATCCAATGCCTGAGCTGAAGACAGTCATTGCAAACAGCAATTAAGTTGGGGACCACATCAGGGGAAAATCCATCTGCTGCTGTCATCTTCCTGAGATACCTGTTCACACTTTTACCCCACATGGATGGAAGGTTGGTCAGTCTGGCTGCCAACACTTGTAATGTCTTCCTCCTGACAGAGTCTCTTCATATGTGAAGAAAAATATGAAACAATATTATCTCAAATTGTTGAAACAAAAGTTGATACTGCTAGCCAGCAAACTTACTTTGACCAAGACTTTAAATTAATCCAACACAACTTGATTAACTTCTAGGCTTCTCCTGGGTTTCAATAGCTTTCTGTATCCTTTTGGAGAAGCAATATAGTTTGAGTATATATTTGGCAGGTGTATTTATTCCCCTTAAACAAAATTTTTCTTACTAAAAGTAGTGGAACAACTCAATGCTAACAAGGTTTTATGACAAGGTCCAGGAGATGATATTTCTTGTCTGTGCTAGTCACAAGTAAATTTATAAATTTTATCCAACAAGGTCATGGTAACCAATTCAAATTTATCGGTGTTGACATACTTTATTGCAACACACAAAAAAAGAAACAGAATGCTTAGAAAATTATTCTGAAAGAAATGTCAGAGGGGTACATGCACTAAGTGCACCAAAACATAAAAAATTGAGTGAACTCATGAGTGATTTTCATGCATTATAGTCATAACAATATGAATATCCAACATGAATGTACGTGGCCCCCCGCCTAACAGACCTCCCGTGTAAGGGATTTTCGCCAAACAGACCAGCTCTGCAAGCAGTTTTTCCTCCCGCCCAACAGACAAAATCCACCAAACAGACTTCTTTTGGTTTAAAATTAGTGTTGAAAATTGAAATTTTTTATTTTTTGTGTAATTGAATTCGTGTAAAGGACTTTTTNTTCTTTTGGTTTAAAATTAGTGTTGAAAATTGAAATTTTTTATTTTTTGTGTAATTGAATTCGTGTAAAGGACTTTTTGTCTAACAGACTCGCCCCTTGCATAAATCAAGTCTGTTAGACGGGGGTTGACTATTGTTATTCATTATAAATTTATAATACAGTTGACCCCCACACTTTTGACCTCCTATGGAATGGATTTTTGCACAACGGACTGCCTCTGGAGGTAGTTTTCCCTCCCATGCAACAGACTAAATCCAGACTTCTGTTGGTTTAAAATTAATGGTAAAAAGGGGAAATGTACACTTTTACATAATTGAATTCCCATAGCAGACTTTACAAATTGAGTTCATTGTGCAGTGGTTGACAGTGTCACTTTGTAACTCACCCAAGAAGATCTGCAACTTCCAAATACTCGTTGGTCATCTGCAGGACATCCAAAGGGATGCTTCTTCTGTACAATCCTCCAATAGTGGTCTCCATCTTGGTGTTTATCAACATGGCATTGTGTTCAGTCTCAACTGCTAGCCTGATGAATCTTGCCATGGAAGCTGAAGTACTCTGAAAAAAAAGGTTTCAAGGCATGAATTCATTCATTCAAAATGAAGGGAATGAACATTGAAGTCTCACAGCAACATGGACATCCTTGAGCCTCTGAATGTCAGCATTATTCAAAAGTAGATTTTGATGATGGTCTTTTGGACCAACTTGATAGAAGTGGTGTTTGCAGAACTTTGGGTACCCATGCAGGACAAAGTCCAAGAGTCTGACAACATCATTGCCTTCAACCAACAACACAGCCTTTTTCACCTGATGATCAAAATTATTCATTAGTAACAATAAAATTTATCATCACTTTCTGATGAAATAAAGATACTTGCATTACAAATACTGTATACACATAGGAATATAAATATGTTTGGAGGGTACAAGGCAGTAGTTCAGACAACAGATATATTTGAAGAGGGCTTGCTAAACAGTGAAATACTTCCTGAGAATGATTTGCATTGGGCTTTGGATCAATTCTAAAGTATATGCTGTACGATATGCAGAACATATATTTATAGACCTTGAGGAATCAACGAAATCTGAGATTCCTCAATTGTAACTGTTTATGAATATATACAGCAAAACATATCCTTATAAACAGTACCTTTGACAAAAATACCTGTACATGGGGTTATCAAGTCATTTCCACTCATTGTCATGTACAAGAAAAGTGGGTCAAGGTTTGACACTAGGCAATATGCTATAGAAAGAGAGAAACCAAAAAAGAAAGCACTGCTTTTGCAAAACCTTGCTCTTTTCCTTCCTCAGAAAAGTAATTAAGCCTTTGAGAAAAACTCAAAGCATATTGAGAATGTTTCTATAGGACGACAAATTTAATAAATTACAGTGAAAAACTAATGTTCACCAGTCTTTGTAGAGTATCATGATACACTTGCAAAATTGTTTGCACAATCATCCAGTGAGGAGGAAACAAGATGGCCAGCCTCTTGAAGTGAGTGACATCATTCAGCATTTTCTGAATGGCTGTTTTGAGCCATTCAGCCATCCAACCTTCCTTTGGAATGCTGCTTGGATTTATCTTGGCACTTTCTTGACTGAGCCCAGGGTGAAGAGGTATCAGCACTTCATTCAAGTGTTCCTCTGCTAAGTTTGCCAAAATCTGCAATCCTTTTTGTCTCCAGGCCAACTTTTGTCTCCCAGGATACACAAGGTGTGGATTTTTCTCCTTCAGGTCCTGTATAAATTGTTGTCTGATGTTAAATAAACAATTCCAGATCAAATATATACAAAAGATATATTTTATTCACAACCAAATTTGTTCAAGACAAATCTAACAAAAACAGACAAGTCTTAAGAGAATCTTGTTAAACGTGCACAAGGTTCTCTGAGAAGTAACCGCAGTTGACACAGGATTAAATCTGAGGAAAATATCGTTCCTCAGCAATATATATACTTTTCAGGTATACAGGTCAACAACAAGGAATGCAGATCAACAACAAAGTATTCCTCATAGTATTCATGAGGGGCGAGGACCTCATGAGGTGAAATATCCGCAAACATGGTACACAACAATATTATATATATGCAAATCTGTTATATCATATATACCTCTGAAATTTGTATTTCAGAGGTGCGGCAGCGCGGATATGTGCGAGGATAACATTCGTCACTGTCAAGAGTGAGGGGGAGTTTTATTAGTTAACAAGGACAAAAGCGCGATGTTTTAACCTGGGGTGATGTGTGAAGAGAGATTTCAAAACAAGGGGAACAGCTGCTAGGAGAAAACCTTGTTTGCTTCCTCTAAGTAAGGTGCAATTTAAAAAGTAGGTCTTGGAAACAAACCCGAGTATTTCCTGGATAACAAGCTCATGCCAGGCAAAAATAAAAAGGTTCCATTCCTTTTTTGGAGCCACGAATCAGGCAGGTTCTTGCAAAAAGGTTGACAGCGTAGATTTCGATGTTTGCAAGTGAGCTGTTGTCCTTCAAAATAAGTGCGAGCAAGTGTGCGCTGACCCAGAAAGAAAAATTAAATTTCTTGATGGGAAGGCTCAAGGTTTCAAGATGGTGTACAAAAACACCTTCTCAACTGGAAGAATCAAAGTGTTGTTCAGCAGTGCCAATCGGCTGTCGACAGTGTTGACACGTCTGACTGGTGAGTTAACTTGTTTGAGCCAGTGTTCCTTGAATTTTTCCAAGACAGTAAAGACTCTTGCTTTAATTCTAAACTGTTTGCTGTTCTCTCTTTGCAGATCCTTCCGTGTTCTTTGGTCTCTCTTTTATTGCGTAAAGATAAAAAAAAATATCGTCGCGTAAAAATTCTTGAAGTAAAAGAAAACTTGCGAAAAATAAAGGTAAATTGGACGCGTAATAAAATTGATTTTTGTCGATTGATTATTTGTCTTGTTTACGTAGATGGTTTGCTGGGTGACGTTTCTGCTGTTGTAGCTGGTGTTGGTGTCCGTTGACGGAGGGTGCGTCCTGGAGAATCAGGAGGTATTTTGTGATGACGTCTGCAGTGATGACGTGATCCTGGCGTTTGATTATGGACATTGGGTCGTTTTCACTGGAGATGATCTGTATTTAGATTGCGTTCGTCTTTGTCGGTTGAAGGTATAGTGGATACGCAGTAATTGATTGTTTTTGAAATATCAATTGTGCGTCTCTACTTTACAGGAAGTAGTGCTGTTGAGTCCAGTAACTTGTTTTGGACATCGGGATGGGATGGAGACTGTTGTCCATCCTTTCTTCAATTGCTTGATTTTTGTTCGTCCATCTCCTTGTGAGTGTTTCACAAAAAGTTTTTTGGTTTTGCAGGGAGAAATTGTTTTTTAGGAAGATTTCTAATTTTTTGTGCTTCTGTTCTTTTTCTTTCGTTTTCCTATAGCATCGACGACGTTGTCGTCTACTTCAAAAGTGCTTCAGACGACTACAATTACAACGGAGGCAATTCTGAAACATTCTGTTGCCTCTGAAGGGAAGGGGATCCTAGCGCCGGTGCCTTCTCTCATTCCTGAGGTGACAATTCGCGTAAAGGATGGTCAGCTGGAGGCAAACATCAGCGGGGAGACGGCAATCATGTATTTGATTGTTGCCTGTGGAGGATCTGGAGCAGTTTCCATTGTGGCTTTCCTATTGTGGGGAGCTCGTCAGCTTTATCTGAAGGTGAGAAAATGTTTTTTGCTCTTTTCTACTAAAAAGTTGGGACTTTCTCTTTTTCTTAAAAATAGGCAGTGTTTAAAGGAACTTTTCTTTTTGGTAGAATCAAATAAAAGTTGAGGAGGAAAATTTTGGAGATCTTCCACCAATCGATTTCGATAATCTCGATGAGGATTTGGATGGAATTGTTCGTAATTTTGATTCCATGACTTCTACCGATTTTGGTGATGGTAAATATTTTCCTTCAGTGTTAAAATTCTTGGAGAGTTTGGAAACTGATATTATTTTTTCTTTCTGGCTTTTTTCAGTGGCATTCCATTTGCCAAGCTGTGAGGTGGCTGGACCGCAGAACAGCTGCAAGTTGTACAACAGCCACAAGTTCTAAGGAGGACATGGGCCCAGAGGATCCGGTGGACCTTCTTGGAGAAGAGCTAATGGAGGATCCTTGAACTGCGGAATTTTGGGCTTAGGGCGTGATTTGGTTTTTGTTTTTCTTTTTTTGTTGAAGAATCTGGTTTTGTTGTTGTTGCGAAAATTCATGGAATAATCAGTTGTGGTAATCGGTCGGGTATGATGAGAAAAATCTGTGAATCAGCGCATTTTTCATACTTTTTCGGGCTTTGTATCTTTTTGTTAGCGCCATTGTATTATTTTGTACAGGGTTCAAAAATAAAAGAGTTGAACCAAAATTTTCTGAGTTTTCCTTCTCTTCCTGGGATGTTTTTGGGGTGTTTTCTTAAAATAGATACAGGGACAGGGTTTTCGGAAAACAATCGTAAAATATTCTTTTCTTCAAACTACTGATAAAACACCAGTAGTAGGATTCATTTTCATTTCAACTTTGGGGTAAATTTGGCTTCTTCTGGGTAGTAATTCAATTGTGTTGGCTTGGGAAGTGGAGGCACGTCTGGTTCTTAAAACAAATCGAATTTTTGCGTAGCACAAATAAATTAAACATGAGAAGACAAGAAAAGTAAATATGGAAGTAAATATCATATAGATATATCCATGATGTTGGAAATGAATTTGAAGAGTCGTTAGGTCATCCTTCAATAGATTTCTTTTGTCCAATTCAGAAGGGATCTCTTCTACTACATTGATTTCAATGTTCTTGAGTTGGGGAGGATTTCCCTTGAAAGGACTATTTACTAAGGTATAATGACAATTATATTTAAAGTGCAAAATACCTGAGTAAGGTAATTTGTAAGAGTGTTCTGTAGCAGACGTTTTGTTTACTTCTGAGGCCACACAGTACTGGGTAATTTGACCTTTGTCAGTATCCACAAAGGCAAATTTAATCTCTTCTACTACATTGATTTCAATGTTCTTGAGTTGGGGAGGATTTCCCTTAAAAGGACTATTTACTAAGGTATAACGACAATTAGATTTAAAGTGCAAAATACCTGAGTAAGGTAATTTGTAAGTGTTCTGTAGCAGACGTTTTGTTTACCTCTGAGGCCACACAGTACTGGGTAATTTGACCTTTGTCAATATCCACAAAGGTGAATTCATCAGCATCTAATTGAACCACTGTATTTTTGGGATGAATTGTCTTTTGCAGGGGACAATTATTTTTGATCTCTTCATCGTTTTTCCCCTCTTGGATTGTTTTGACACACAGGTCAGTTTCTTTTGATAGAGGAAAATTGAAACAACAAATGCGGCATGGTGCATAATTCACAGAGGTGATGCATGTGGGTATTTCTTCCACATATAATCCAAAATAATTTTGTCCTTGGGATAAAAGGTAGGGGTATTTAATCTGAGTTCTTTCCCATTTGGGGAGTCCCAAATAAGTATCACTTGCAATAGGGAAAGAACGTACCCTAGACAGTAAGTATCTGTATGTTTGCTTGAAAACAGGGACAATTAACAAAGCTCTATACAGACAAGGATCATCACTTGTTAATTCAGAGGGACATTGGTCTAATTGACTGAAAGTCAGAGGGTTTGTCTGCAGCAAGGTGAGAGTTTCTTGTTGGTCCAGGAGCAGAGGAAAATTCTCTGAGGTGAATATGGTTTTCAAATTGCTGGATAGTTCAACGTCTGAGAAAATTCTAGTGGGGTATTGAAATTGGGCTATCTTATTCAGGTCATTGATGAAATTTTGGAGCATCTCAGCCTGGTTAAATAAGACGGTATTCAGATTGGAGAGACTTATTAGATTTTCAGTAGTCTCAGAAAAAGGGGTTCCAAATTTTTGCAGGAGGTTTGCTAATATCATCAATCTGTTGTTGTCAGCTCGGTAATAGGAGGAAAGTTCTGTTTCAAGCTGTTTGTTTTTTTATTGTCCTTTTCTGGTATCTGGTAAGAGGTTGAGATAAGAGGGATCCGTAAAAAGAATAGTTTTTTGTTTCTTGGTTCAGATAACCAAATCACTCAGAACTTCAGAAAGTTTTGCTTGGGTAACAGACAGAATTTTGAATAAATTTGTCATTGTCATAGTCTTGTTTTCTGTAGAGTGAAACTGTCTTTTAATTAGGTCTTTTGTCAGATCAGAGATAATTTTAGTTTGACTGTATATTTTCCCAATGTCGATATTGGTTGAGATTGTCCAAAATTTTGAGGGTGTACACACAGGAAAAAGGTCCTCTAGAGTTATTCCCATGTTTCCAGGGAAATTTTGGATAGGGGAATGTTTATTTGATCTGACACTGTTTGTAATCACTCCTTTGTCTGTTTCACTCAGTTTGGTAATTTCTAGAGTGTAAACCACAAGGGGGAGATGTATCACTGCAGTGATTATTTGGAGCAGCATTGTTAACTAGTCGAGAGCAAAACATGGACTGGTCGGTTCTCAGGGATATGGATTTTATTTTAACGATGGGTTTTTTATGGGCTTGGTCATTTTGGAGAGGATTGGCTCATTTCTATTCAGCTTCTTTTTCCCTTTGTTGACTTCTTGTGCGGGTTGCTATGGGTGAGGCTGCTGTGGCTTGGCTTTGGGTTCTATGCGGCAGGATCCTTGAGGGGTCAACGGCCGCAGGGTCAATGTCCAGTTTTGTTAGGCCTTCAGCTCTCTTGATAGGAGTCAGGAAATCCATGTTGTCTGTGTCTTGTGATGAGAAACAGACAGGAGCATGTGTGCATCTTTTTTGTTCAGAGCTGCGGTGTGTAGATTGTGAGGGACAGGTTGCGCTGTCTTCTGTGATGGGAGGATCTTTGGTGGAGTTATTGGGATCCTTGAGTTGTACTGCTGACGGTGTGTCTGGTTTAGATCTTGGTGTACTTGTCAGGGTTGGTAGATCATAGTCAGCATTTGGGGTGAAAAGACGTCCAAATTTATGAGTGACGTTGTGGGCCACATCTCGGATTTTTTGCAGGATGCCAGGTTGTTTATTTGAGCGGCCAGTAGGGGTTGGAGGAATGACAGTAACAGGCATGTTGTCATCTGCAGGAATCTCAGCATCTTGATCAGCAGCGGTATCAGGTAGAGTTTCATTGACAGAGGTAAAAAGATTGTCAGGTGTTGTTCAAATTGGAGTCAGCAGGAATAAATGGTTTGATGTCAGGTTCAGCATCAGGAACATTTGTAGTAGTAGAGTTATTGTCAGCATCAGGCACAGTATCAGGAACAGTATCAGGGTTTTCACCCCCAGGAAAAGAAAAATCAAAGTCCTCTTTGATGGTTGAGGGTGGTTGTGGAGATGTGGATAAATTTGAAGGGATCGTTGTAGATAAGGTTGGCGATGAAAATGAGTTGTTGTCCAAACCCCGTTGTAGAAATGGTTGCACATAACTATTATGGATGACGTAGGTCCAGGATGGATGTTTGTCATCTTGAACACAAATGACAACTTGGTTGATTTTTCTAGGACTGTATATGGTCCTTTATATTTCGGTGGCCATTTTCTGCCAATGTACAAGGCTTGGTCATGTTGTTGAATTAGCACTTAGTCACCCACATTGTATTGTTGGCCTTTTCTATTTTTATTCAAACTTTGAAGGTAGGCTGCTTGACCTTTTCTGATGGAATGTTGAGCAGCTTCTCTTAAACGTCATATATTTTCCATTTGGTTTGTTGTATCATTTTCACTTTTTTGAGCTGGGTGAATCCAATTGAGACAAGGTTTTGTTCCAGTCACCACTTCAAAAGGTGACATTTGTAGGGCTTCATGCTTGGCTGCATTATGTACCCATGCTGCAAATTTGAATAGTTTGTCCCAAGAGGCGCAATTTTTGGGGTCAAGATATATGGCAAGATATGCGTGTAATTCACAATGCGCCCTTTTGTTTTGTCCATTTCCTTGTGGGCAATAGGCTGTAGTGGTGTGTGTTTTAGCACCAATGAATTTTGCCATGTCTTTAACCATGTCTTTAAAAATAGCACTGATGAAATTTGTGCCCCAATCTGTGAGGATCCTTTTTGGTGCCCCGAAGAGGCAAACCCAGTT